TTCCTGCTGGGTGGACTCATCAATAGAGTTACATAGCCCTCAAATCCATGTCCGCGTGATGGCAGGGGGGGGGGGGTGATTTGACTCCTCGCTTCCCACCCCGTGCATGTAGCGAAAGTACCGAGTCACACAAAGTGTGAGCGAGAATCGGGGTCGGTGGCGTATGAGCAGGTCCGCGTACTCTGAGCCCGTATACACACGTGCACACAGGTACCATCTGTACAGAAACACTCTTGACAATGCGGCACCACGGCAGAATGCCAACCAGCGATCTAAAGGCGGTGACTTCAAATCCCATCAGGGGTTGACTCATCCCATTATCACTTCAGCGTTTGAGAATAAAAGTACGACTGCATAGAAAGTCAATCATGCCTGTCCAATTGTGAGAACGCGCCTTCACCATATAGGAATGTGGAAATTTCCTTCACTCGTTCGGCACCAACACCAGAAAAGAGCACTCTGCACTGCACTCTTTTGAGCGGAGAGGCAATTTGACTTCGAAAGGAATATTTAAAAATAAATTCACCAGTTAAAGATGTAAGCGTGTTGGTCTACGCTTTGTTGACATTACTATTATGCGTTTTATTACGGGGCTTGCAATGTACTGTGGTTGTTTCCGCATGATGTCGTGTGCGTATTATTTCTAATAAATCTCGGAACGCGTAATTTGTCTAAAAAAATATTTAAGGCATCAAATACATTTGTTGCAGTAAGCCACTACAAATAATTCAAATGTGCAGGTTCATGTTCACACACAGTTACAATATATGCTAGTCCTCATTAAAGAAAGGCCATCTCAATGACCAGCTTAGAATAACTTGTTTAAATATCATTACCGTAGCCATTCAACCACAGCATATTTTAAATATTTTCCCCCATATATTCAATTACTAAGTCTTCAACATTTTTCAATGTCGACATGCTGTTGCTAAAGCATGTTAACTTTTCATTAGAAATGTTGTTGGTTACCGCAGTATAGTTTTCTGCACTTTTTAAAATTGGGTTATAACCATTATTAAGTGTAACATCTTAAGAGTTTTTTTTTTGCGCTGACATTTGTTTTGTACTTTGCCTCCTTTCATGATCCAACGTCAAAGATACTGAAGCCTCGTTTCGAGAACCACGGAGAACTGGATCCTGCAAGCACAAGAGCATCCCAGTTCTGGCCCAGAGACGAACGCCATCCTCCCATAATCAACGTTTTTGGGTTTAGATCGCGTTATTTGTAAATGTGTCGTAACCCTCCACCACCCGACACGGCCAATCAGTAAAAAAGTGTCACGTTGACAAAAGACAAATAGTCCTAGCAGCTTTTGGACTAGGCCATCGAACAAAGATGGCCACCGCATCGCGCACTTTCAGACGCGCTTCCGCGGCCGTCTGGAACGCTCTCCCTTCCGATATTAGAAGGCCACTGGAGCTATACGCTCGGTTACATCTATATTGAAAACTCAATTCTTTAGAACTGCTTCTTGTGTTTAGTTTGTTGTCCTTCCTCCGCACCTCCGATTAGCACGGTTGGTTACATATGGTGCGAAATAAGTTAAACATACATACAACATACATACAACATACACACAACATACATACACAGCAAGGCTCGGATTCTGTTATGCTCAATGAGCTCTACCACTCCCACTCTGTCCCCTATGCACCTCTTCATCCTACCCTCCACAGCCTTGGTCAGCTATTATAAGCATATTTCTTTACAAAATGTAATTTAGGCATGGATTAGGTGAGGATATTTTAAGCTAACATGTATACTTTTCATGAATTTTTCACCTCAGTTTTTTTTCTTACAGCTGGGAAGTTGAACTTAGGCGAGTGACGTGGCAGCACGAGCATCCGGCTTCCACACTGAACCCGTGACATCACGATTGGTTCCACAATTGTCCCAGGGCATGGTTAGTTTAGAGTATTTGGCTGCTATAAATTTCCACACAATAAGCCACTTCGTTGGACTATTATTTGTGGCCATGTTGCTTCTGAAAAATACCTGTTTAGCTCAGAATTATAATCTTCATTTATACTGGAGGAATCCGATGGGCTATAAAGCCCTTATTCGCAGATGTCCAGTCGGGGTGGGTCAGAATGTTACAACAACAAACAATACAGAAACACGATAGGAGCGCAAAGTATAGGAATGGTAAACAAATCACCAGGCCTTGCCTGGTAAAATAAAAATAATTGCTTAGTTTAATAGTTTTGTGGTTGGCTGACCTCGGCAGAGCTACTATTGAAACCTAGACTCTTGGGTAATAATTATAATGATTTGCTTTTTGACCTTGCGCCCGTTAAGCCGGGGCACGTTACACGCGATAAGCGCCTTGCATCCCCTCTCATGCCTACCATTAGAAAGGGCACCCCTGGTGTCAGCTATCCCTGTGGGCACAAGGTGATTTAGCACCGTGGCTGCTTTCAGGCAATAGTCTGGCAATTAGAAGGTGATGATCGCTATGCCATACACACTTGCGGTGGAATTTTCTACTTTTATCAAATGGCGATAGAACACAATGGCCTACTTGTTTCGAATGACATCACAGGATCTTTGACTTCCACTGCGAAGCAGGGGCCACCACGGTAGCGAGATGCTAACTACCTCGCCTGGTGCGCAGGCAGGTCGTGGGTTCGATCCTCAACCCTGACGCCTGTATATTTGGAGTCTGCATGTTCTCCCCGTGGTTGCGTGAATTTTTCTCTGGGTCTTTTCCCTCCTCATTTAGAATCAACACGCATTTAGAGGTATTTGGTTGCTATACATTTCCATGTGATTGACACTTCGTTGAGCTATCATTTGTGACCAAGTCACTTCTGAAAACGAGCTGAGTGGGCCTGACCTGGTAAAATAAAAAATAAAAGTTCAGTTTTCATAGTTTTAGATCGTGCGTATTTTACCTTTAATAAACCCGCAGTAATAACCGGGGTGGTCTTCCGGATTTGAATCGTGAATCTTTGCAAACAGGCGGTGAACGCGCTACTGCTATTGGCCGATTCAAACACCGTGCCAACCCGGTTCCCAAGGGTTTTGTGGAAACGCGGCATGACAAATGTGCCAATGGGATTCCAACTGGGAATATGAAAGCGAACAGGCAACTCGTGCCACTGTGCTCATTCGTGAGACGCGATGATCACAATTATGTTTTACCTCTTAAGATCCAGGCTCGCAGCTTTCAATCATCCCTGGAAACGCGCAACGTTGAGCCATTGTTGGCTTGTGGTTGCCATGTGAGTCACCAGAACACTTTTTGAGCCTTCACATACCGTGCAAGATTCCACAATGCATTGCACATCGTGACTACCCACGCTGCAGTACAATTTCTCTTTCCCTCTTGAAGTTGTCAGGGATATGAGCAGCTTCCTGAATGTCCTCGTGGGTAAAATTATTATGGTTTCTATGATTCTTTGGCTGTACGGCTATGAGGAGAAGGTATCCGTAATTCAAATTCCACACGGATGTCTCCCAATATACATACAGCAGTTGAAAATGCAGTCCCCCCAGAATATTCATCCAATTCCTCATTTTTTAAAGTGCACATTTGCATGTCAACTTCACACGTGTCGGATGGCCCAAGATGCAGCGCAAGTGTCCATCAAAGGCATCTTGTTGAATGCCCGTGCACAAAGGTGGTTGGCAAGAAAGCCACGCAGTGGTCTCTAGGGCCTCGTGTTGCCACGTTGAGCAGGATCACACAAAGTGAATACACACAATAGGTTAAACAGGATCATTGCGACCTAACATTTAAAGTTAAATATAGAGCTGCTGCAAGAATCGATTACTGAATTAATTAATTAATGATTAAACTATTGCGTCGTTGCACTGATTAAATAGCAAACTATTTGCATATCGTTTTCTAATTAAGCGATTTCCACAAACGAAAGACAAAAACGTGTATTCTTAAACAGGACAGCTGCCTCCGCCCCCCTCTGTCTATTTAAGGCCACCCCACAGAGACGATCACCCCTCTCTGTACCTGTGTTGCCCGCTCTGTGTATCTTGATGATATCTGTCTGCTTATATGTCTGTCTATAATTTTTTCTGGTTAGATTTTATGTCGCTATTTCATTATACCTGATGATGATTGCTTGTGTTTCAATCGAAACGTCGTATGCTATTAGTTTAATTTAGTATTTTTTCTTTATACGTGACTTTACCCAAGAACCAAAGAATAGGACTTATGACGTCGCAATCCCTCGTCATCGCCACGTCACACTATGATGCACGCACCGCGTTTGTCAGGGTTTCAGAGGCCAGGCTCCGGACATCCATAATTTTTTACTACCTGCTGATTAACCGAATGTTTATAAGCAAAAAAATTTAAGTGAAAATTTTTTTCTTAGCAATCAACGAATCGTATGTGGACTTGGGCAGGACGCGTTCCCCGAGAAGGAACGATGGCTCATGGTCTCAAGAATAATGAGTGGCAGCCAAGTAGCGGAACGCGTCCGAGATGACAATCGCCAGTCGGCAGAGCAACGAAAGGAGCTCGCGTGCAGGTGCTGGGCTGGATTATGACATCGCAGGGTCATGATGATAACAATAATAACGAAACTAGGGTTTTCTGCAGCGCAATTCACGCAAGGCCTCAAAGCGCTTTATGTGAACCTTAGGTTATGCGGAAAGTCTGAGCCTTAAGACCCTTTTTAAAACGTGTACCAGACTCAGGTTCCGTGATGGAGCGAGTAAGGGAATTCCACAATCGCGGAGCCTGGCTGCAAAGAGCTCCATCTCCCATATGACAAAGTGTGGTCTTTGGAAAAATCACTGAGAGCAATATCAGAACATTTACGTTTTCACAGTGGAATAAGACAAAATGTAAGCGAATCGGTGAGATGTTTAGGAGAGAGCTGGCACAGCCCGGGGAGGTGTTCATCCAGCAGTGGATTGACGATTGTTGATGATGAGATGATTTGTTCCAGCACGACATTAAATGGTTGGCTCACGTTGCCCAACTGTTCAAGTGAAGTAGCGACCGCGGACACAGCCGCCTCTCCGCCTTTACCTGCGGCAGGCCGAGAGGTGGAAGCTGCGTGGCAGCCTGTGGCCGGGACCCGTGTCTGTTCGGGCTGCACTTCTCCAGGCTCGACATCGGAGGCTGTGGGGGAGACACGGACACACAGCACACACGGACACACAGCACACACACCGCACACACAGCACACACACGGACACACAGCACACACGGACACACAGCACACACGGACACACCGCACACACGGACACACCGCACACACGGACACACAGCACACACGGACACACCGCACACACGGACACACAGCACACACGGACACACAGCACACACAGCACACACACGGACACACAGCACACACGGACACACAGCACACACGGACACACAGCACACACGGACACACAGCACACACGGACACACAGCACACACACCGCACACACACGGACACACAGCACACACAGCACACACGGACACGCAGCACACACACGGACACACAGCACACACGGACACACAGCGCACACGGACACACAGCACACACGGACACACAGCACACACGGACACATAGCACACACACCGCACACACACACACACACGCCGGTGTCACTCAAATGCACACCAACAATTGGGAGCGGAGATTGGGGTTCGGCGCAATTGTCTTCCACGTCTAAAGCGTTTACAATTACCGAACTGAAACGGCTGGGGTTTTTCTCTGAAAGGCATTGCACAAGCTAACAATCGAAAGTCAAAAAGGCTGCAATGGATAATGGGCAAGTCTTTCCTCTTTTTTGGTGGTCCAGAGTCAGCTTTGGAAGGCTATAGGTGAAAGAAAATGTTAGTTGGCTCTTACATTAAAACAAAAAATGTTTTTAGGAACGTCCACGGAGTTTTCCTCCTTCAAAAATGACAAGAAATCCCGAATCCTAATTCCGAGCATTGTTATTATTATTAGACCAGCAACAACATTTCAAAGGAAATGTTTAACAACAACTGTGCAGTTGTGGGGGGGGGGGGGGAAACAACGATGTCATTGCACAGCGCCCGCTACTCGACGATTCGTGTCATTGCACGAAGTGGAACAACGCGAGAGCCAAACACCCCCCAGCTGCCTTCAACATTCCTCCTCGAAGACATCGGCGCACCATCAACCGCGTTGCGAACATCGACAGGCCAATGCGCACATCTGGCTCGTGAACGGAACATTTAACGCGAGCCACCGTAGTCGTGCGACTGAAATTAAAACGAGAACAACTTTTTTTGATTTCACCAGATAAGGCCCACTGGAGCAAAAAAAGTCTCTCTTTCAGAAGAGACCTGGCAACAAATGATAGCTCAACGAAGTGGCTTAATGTATAGCAGTCGAATACTCTAAACGCGTGTTGATTATAATTGTGGAGGGAAAAACCGGAGGATGCAGGGAAAAATCAACGTAACCACGGGGGGGGGGGGGGGGGGGTGAGACATGCAAATACACAGCAGGCGTCAGGGTCGAACCCACGAACTCCTGCAGACCAGGCGAGGTAGCTAGCATCTCACCACTGTGGCGACCGTGGCCATGTAACCAAAACTTCTGCACTCTTTCAAAGGAAGCAGAATAGCAAAACTACACGAACTCTCAGCTGAAGCCCTCCCGCCATGGCCAACAGACCTCAGCATTGCCATTTAGCTCCCGGACACTGCCATTTGCAAGGAGGGAACATAATGTTGAAGTTTGCACTAAAGGTCCCCCGTAAATCACGGAGTCGCCCCCCTGTTACGACTGTCGCTAAGACCCCCTGAACTGCACCCCCCCCCCCCCGCGCTCCTCCCAGAGGATGCTCTGCGTGTGTCCCCTGCGAAAGGGGCCCCTTCCCGACCTCATTCGCAACCTGCATTTGACGTTTTCTTGCCACGAATGAACCGCAACGCGTTGCTGGTTCTCTTCGAGGAGTGTCAACCATCATCACGCGAACTCCGCTCATCCTCGCAGCGGGGGCTTTTGGACAGCCATCGAACAAATACGGCGGTCACCGCAACGCGCGCCCATTCAGATGCGCTTCTGCGGCCGTCTGGAACGCTCTCCCTTCTGATATTAGGCAGGACCTTTAAATAATGTACATTGAAAACTAATTTCTTTAACTACGTTTTGTGTTTAGTTTGTTGTCCTTCCCACCGCACCGTCCGATTAGCACGGTTGGCTACGTACGGTGCGAAAGAAGTTCAACATACAGTCCATACATTTACGCTTGTTATAGAGTTGTGTGGTCGGAGCCCAGCGGCCACCCTGGTTAACACTGCGGGAGTAGGAACCAAACAAAGTGCACCCATCAACTTCACAGGCCACGTGTGATGTCCATGTTTTCCAAGTTGGCAAATGTATTACAAATGTAATACATATTTCATAATGTAATTTTTTACAGCGAATTTTCAAAACAAAATGAATAAGCGGCCAACATTCATGTTTCCGTCTCTCCACGTAAACAAAAAAGTTTTGTATTTTTACAAAACCTGACTGTACTGATGAGGCACTGAATGTCGAAACCCATCCAGTGTTTGCTTATATTGCTGCTGATATGATGCACTACAAGAAGGCCTTGGAGCTGATGGGTTGTGTTAAACAATTTAAACTTGTGTATTCTGTGTGGAGAGAGGGATATGAATACTGTATACGAACGCGACAATGTCTGCTTGTCTATTTTTGTTAATTGGGTAAAGTGGCATCGCAACATCGCCGCCTACTGAGCAAATCCTGCTATAATAATGTGAAACGTACGTGTACCGTAATTAACATCTTTCGCGCAGCGCGCGTGAGAATCACGTGTTTGTAGGTGCGTTGAACTTCTGTCGCGCCGTACGTAGCCACCCGTCCTAAATCGGAGGTACGGGTAAGTTAGGCAAATGCGACGCTATTGAGACGCCCCCGTCTTTCTGGAGCACAGCGGTAGCAGCCCACTGCAATACCTGGCTCCCAGGCGGTTATTTATTCACGGTGCCATCCATTCGTCGTGTGCAACAGGCGAATGATTGGCTCTCGTCCATAGACTTCAAGGACGCCTGCCTGAAGCTAATGCAGTGACCCAAATGGTACAAATAACACAACGAGTTAAGAAACAATACAGAAGCCACTGTGCAGATGTTTGGGGTTGCGCTGTACACAGCTCTCCGATGTGTTCTCAGGTTGTACCACGTGATGTCTGGCGGGAAGACTGACGTTTCACTCCACGTGCTTTCAGTTCAGCTCCTAAAGAAGCTATCCCAGCATGCGGAGCGAAACGTTGGACATTGTGCCAAACTACACGCGGCAAGACCCAAAAATACATCGGGCAGCCGAACAATACAAATGAGATGGTGATAGTGAGAATGCATTTTTTTTAAACAAATCACACCTCAACAGCGTGACAATTTATCACATTGTAAATTGCTTAGCGTAAGCTGTTCCTCATTTATAATTGTTTTGAGACTTTCACATACAGTACGTTGCATTGAGGCCTTTGCTTGCGATAACTTTGGTGACTGCGTCGGTTCCTAAGTCAAATAACAGGCATAGAGGTTCAACACGTGTAGGCTTTCGCGACCAATGTTGTTCATAATACAGGTGTTTTGGGTTAGATCGCGTAAATATATAAATGTGTCGTGAAACCCGCCACCACCCGACACAGCCAATAATTAAGGTTTGCCACGTAAACAGGACATGCCAATTCGTTTCTAGTACAGCACACCGGTGTGTTGGAGAGCACATCCACAACATTTACAATCTTGAATACGACGTTTCGCCAGATATAGCAACTAGCTTCCAACACACCGGTGTGCTGTACCAGTAACGAATTGGCATGTTCTGTTTACAAACCCTACTAATTGGCTGTGTCGGGTGGCGGCGGGTTTAACGACGCATTTATATTTACGCGATCTCACCCAAAAAAAAAACAACCTGCATTTATGGATGATATTGGTCGCGAAAGCCTCCGACGTGTTAGACTGTCACATACCTCTTGACAACACATTGTTACGTTCCTTGATATTTAAGCAGCGAGCAAAGAGCGCGGACCACGGAACCCCGAGATCACATGGGGGGGGGGGGGGGGGACAGCCCGCGCGGATGGCACCGCAGAAACTATTTCCAGAGTCTTTTGAAAGACATCATCTGCTGGGATGCCCCCCCCCCCGCCCCAACGCGAGGCACGGCCCTCCGCTGTCTGTCGGCGTTCCAGAAGGGACGTGCCTCGACTCCCGACAGAAAAGTTGGGTGGGCAGAGGGGGCATCATTTGCGATGGAAACAAAATAAATAAACTGAGCCTGAGGAATTTTGTTGTTGTTGTTGTTGGCAGCAATGAGACCCAAGCTGAGGCATCATAACACCTTGGGAGTGCTGAGACTGTGTGACCCAAGGCGGAACAGAAATGCAGGGAAGACAGCGGAGACGAATTTAAGGGCTGCAATGCACGCGCCTTGAGTCTCGCCTCGATTTTGCCTTTTTGGGCTCGGGTCCTGTTTGGGTGAAAGCCTCTCGCCTCTCACCCAACCAGCTACTAAAATTATGACACAAATAAGAATGAGGTTTTAGCCTTTCTGGCAATAAAACAGAAGGTGTTAAAATGTTCAAACACCAATAAGATACATTTTGCAGGGCATCAAATCTGCATTAACCATACATACTTGTGGTAAAACATGCAAACAAACACGGTCTGATAAAATATTACTTGATACAGCTATCGTGCTGTGACGGTTCCACCTGAAGACGGAAGCTTGTGTTGCCTCCGAAACGTCGTGATTTTTATTTTACTTTTATTAATTTTAGTTAAAAAATTTTGCCTACGTGACTTTACCGAAAAAACCCAAGAATATGAATCCTTGCAATCACGAAAGCTTCAAATCTAGAAATTATAAAATATGCATTGTCTTTGAAACTGATTGGCCTGCTCGAGACAGCCTTCTTTATGGCCTTCTCTCACCAGTGTTGGACCAGAGAATGCCAAAAGGCGTCCTCTGGTCTAACCCCTGTTTTATACTCTTAGGGTCTTTCCAGAAAAACTAAAACCTATTCTTATTTTTCTGAATATTTGATACGAGCAAAAAGGTACCATAGACATAACCAGCGACGAATGCTCGTACCAGGCCGATCGCTAACGCTCTCCAGGTTCTGCTCTTGCCA